CTTAACAGCAACCCAGTTAATCACCGTTACTGAAGTCAAGTGTGGCAAAGAAAGTCAATGCAGACAGCTTGAGAAGCTCATCACACGTGCTGTTCCAGTACTTGGAGGGTCGACTTAGTACGTAGGTTAATAAACCCTATAAGCCATATAATAACCCCAATTATCCCCATTATTAACCCAGTTACTAAGTCTCCATGACCCTCCAAGTACGGGGTCACAACGAATCCGCACTTAGCATCCAATCCAACAAGCACACGCTCGCTTTGGTTTGTACTACAGGGCAATGTGGCATGTACTGTACATAGACATGCCCACATGCATAAACACACTATGTACATGCGGGTGTCCATGTGCTAGTAGAGCGCTGTATCTGAAGCGTGGCCTTTTTTTTTTTTAATTGAAGTCTAGGCTACAAGGTGAGCGACAAGCAGATTTGGAAACCGCATTTTGGGTTGGAAAACGATAGGCCACTCACCAAAAACGATAGGTCGACATTTCCAAAAACCATTCTGGTACTAGAGTTGTACCACCGAAGAACGAAAATCCATCCGGTTGCCGCAGACCCCCGTTCCAGTACTCAAGTTGTACTTGAAGAGAACGAATATCCATCCGGTTGCCGGAGACGGCCGTTCCAGCACTAAAGTTGTATTACCAGAGAATGAAAATCCACCCGGTTGCCGGAGACGGCCGTTGCAGTACAAAAGTCGCACTACCAGAGAGCGAAAATCCATCCGGTTGCCGGAGACGGCCGTTCCAGTGCTAAACTCGTACTACAGGAGAATGAAAGCAGCGGGCGATGTCTAGCAACGTTCGCACCGGATGGTGACAGCCGTTCACCTGCGAACCTTTGGGTGGGGAAAGAACGAAGCTGTCCGCGCGAGAAGCAGAGCGTGCTTGATCTGATGTGCCACATGCCAATATTCTCATAGAGTTGGGAAGAAATGCTGCAGTTTGTGCTGCGCTTCAACGGAGAAACTCCGTAATGTGGGGTCCTGATTAGTGTAGGCCCCAAAATAACATCGGGACCCTAATTAATAACTGGCCCCCCCTAAACGAATCTGGATTTTAGGTTTAAGATAAATTCAATAGAAGGGACCAGGATCGGTTCGTTGAAAGATCACAGGGGTTGCTGAAGGCATTCAGAAAGGGTTTGAAGAGGAGTTCAGAGGGTTTCAGTTTTCAGAAAGGTTTCAATTCTAGAAAGGATTCAAGAGTTCTGAGGTCCTCAAAATCCGGAGATTTCCGGTCTTGCACCCTTGAAAGTGAAAGGTTTTTGCTTTCGGCTGTTTTTGGGGTCCCCCGATGTAACAGAAAATCGACGAGGGCCCCCACAACATTGGTATTATTGAGGTTCTGGGCAGCTGCTGGACGATCTGGCTTCAAATCTGAGAATCCAGAGTTTTGAGGTCTTCAAAATCCGGAGATTTGAGCACGACCGGGGGAGGAGGGGGTGCTGAATAATTTCGGCGAAGCTTCGCACAAGTAAGGCTCCCCAGACTAAGCGGGATCTAACGTTAAGAATGGAGCGCCCGCCCGTTCTAAGCGGTCGAAGTGAATATTAATCAGGGCCAGCTTGTTCAATGCCATAATGTTGGAGCCAAGAATGTGACGGAAGTCGGTGTGAGCCATTTGTTTCCAAGCGCCTGATGTATCCACCAGTCATCACTGATTGCGAAATTGTGGTTTGTGGTGACTCGCAGTTATTCACAGTCGCTGCATGGTTTTACCTATTGGTGCAGCTTGTTACCACCAAGTTGCAAGAATTGAGTACAAGGTCAACACATGCCCAGCGCATCCCAGCACCATAGCACATGCTGACACCGGGCAGTTGCAATGCCGGCGCTTCCATTGCGCGTGGAGGCTGTGCCTTTGAAGATGACCAAGACGGCCAAAACGTACCCTGGCTGGAGATGAAATCGTTTGCGGCTGTTGCTCACCAACTTTGACTGTTTCTTCTTTGTCCGTGCCATTTTTAGAGGTGCACCCAACAGTTCGTGATGTCAAGTATTATCAAGACAACGGTAGCAGCATAATGGTTGCAAGCTTCAACCACAGGCGCCGACGCATCGCAGATGATCCTGAAGGCTAGCACGACGCGCGCGCGCATCTTTCTGAGTCCTCAAGCCAGACGTTGTTTGCTTGTTCGATGTACTGCAATTAATGAGTTACTATCGTAAGTGATCGTAAGTGGAAGAGCGCCACTTTCAGGGCAGCAACAATCCCCACAACGCCGCCGCCAACACCGCTACGTACCGCTGAGCGCCACAGTCACCGCCATTTCCACAGCGCCGGCGCCACGGCCACCGCTGCCCCTACCGCCGCCGCCACCACGACCACCACGACCATCACCGCAACCACCACGATGGTCAGGAAGGCCATGGCAGCAACCGCGTGACCGAGGTGAGGATGGCGGCTACCAACATCATCAACAACAACCATATAAATAACCTATTCTATTCTAATCCCCATGATTCTGATACTTTGTGATCTCCGGAAGCCCCCCCCCCCCCATTTCTGAGACCCTAAATAGTCACAAAGCTGGATTGCTGGATTCTGTGGAGGTCTAAGCCAGCAGGCTACAACCAAGTTTCTGGGCTGCACCTGCCTAGAGCTTGTTATTTCAAAATGCAGTGTAGAAAATCTATCTCTTCAGCGGGTGTGTGTGGTGGGGGGGGGCTTGTCAGGGTTATGCAGGGGGTATGTAGGATTTGTTGTAGAGTAAGTTTTCTCGCTCGACGTTTCGGAGCCAAAATGGAACAACACGTTGTGGATCTTCGAAATCTCGGACCTTTTAAGGCATTTGTAGTACGGTAATTTATGTCACACAGGACCCTAAACCCTAAACCCTAAACCGTGGTTGGTTCAGGATTTCTTCCATGAAGAGCAGGGGTGCTAAGTCCACAGATGATCAATGGCAGCTCAGAGATCATGACTAAATCTCTGAACCAGGACCCTCCTTGTACCCTTTACATATGAGTGTATGGTCCTTATTTTGGGTATATAGAGTCATAGAGGGTAGGAGGAGGGTCTAGGAATATACTTTTCTTTTGGATGTCGCTTTCGAAAAGATCCGCCTCAGCGGTCAGGGAACATAAGCTGCGTCGGCCTAGGGTCCTGACCATGGGCCCCGTACGTGGGCCGCTACGTGTTTCCTCGGTAGGCCCTTGATTGCGTTTGTAGGGGTTTGTCATAGGGTATTATATAGTCGGTTATAATGTCGCGAATCATATGAATATCAGGCCGTAGGATCAAGGGCCCGGATTCAAGGCCCGTAGCGCCAACCTAAGAGTAGGGTTCCGACCCCAAAGAAGACAAATAGCAACGGGGCGATGGTACTCCAGTAATTTTTGAGGTTCGAAAATGTTCGCCCAGAACAGATTGCATCATTCCTATTAGGGTTTTAATAGGCACCTTTTGACCTCCGGCAGGGTGACGGGTTCTATCTTGGGTCTTTGGTATCCAGAGTTGTTTTGATGCAATGCTGCTAACGGAAGCGATCTGCATGACACTACATATATACAATCAAGACCCATGGATTGGCTGTCACCAATAATATAACCCATTGTTGCTTGCCGGAATGTTTCGCCTTTCAGGGTGCCCTGATACAATCCAAAGTACTACTGCAGCCTTGAGCTAATCCCTGAGTGTGAGCAACCCCCCAGAGCCTGGCCGGTTTGTCGCAAAAGTACTCCCAGGAAACGCGGACGGGAAGTGGTGCGGATCCCGTTATGGGATGTTCTGAGCATGAGGTAAGAATAACAATTTTTTGGTTGAGCGACAAGATCGGGGTTTGGAAAGGTAACGGGAGGTAGTACTCTGGGATAACAAATAGGCATGC